ATACCTCTAAATTTTATAAAAGGTTATGAATATAAAATGTGTGTAAATATATCAAAGGCCCAGGCTCTATTTTTTAAAATTTATGTTTTTTCCCCAATTTGACAAGCAACGGGAGATGGTTTCCAAATTGTTTACTATGCATCTAATGCATCTTACTCATTAATTCTTCAAGCTAGGCTTGAAAAACCATGAAGCAAAATCGATATATGTATTGATCTGATGGAATTGAGCAGAGAATAGAAATAATAAACACGTTGTGCGTAGGGTCTAACAAGAAGTCTTGAGCGTTCAGACGGACATAAGCAGATCGCCTTAGCTCGTTGTCTTGATCAAGTACTTACACGCCCTATATAAGCTGGGATATGCTTTTTTCTGACTATTTCATATGTTTCCACAAAAACAGTATACCCTTTTAACCCTTTAGTGCCTCGGGTACAACAACAACAACAACAACAGCAACATCGAACACCGAGAACAGCGCGTGGCCTCATAAAACGCAACAGCCACGGCGAAAATGATTAAATTTGCAGCGCCTGCAAAGGGGATGTCTGCATGTGCGTGTGTATGTGCGTGTGTGACCGTCCGTTTACATGTATTGCAGGACATTGCGACATCGTAAATAAAATTCTCATCTGAAATGCTCAATCGTCGACGAATGGCGCAGCGCAGTAAACTTTCGCTTAACTGTTGAAATAAATGCCAATAACAGCAGAGATTAAATTAATTCTTTTCATTTAATAACCTTTGGCCTACAAAAAACGGGTTGATCAGCCTCCACGAACTTGCTGTTGGATCACCGTTTCAAAAATATTAGTCACCGAATATAGATATATACACATACATATATATATACATACATAGAAGGAAGCTATAATATTTTTAAAGTCAGCTGGACGCTGGGTTCATGGTGTCTTCTAGTCAGGCACCTACTTGCTTAGTGCTGGAATTATATTTTTTGCATAGAGTTTAAAGTAAATATTATGCCAATTAGTTTTTGAAAGTGCCAGCTTAATTAGACAGGATTTTATTTTGTTCGCGGTCTTAGGGTATGCAACATAAAATACCTGACAGATCGTTGCGAGTGGAAAATATGGACAGCTGAAAAGTATGCAACATATAATAAAATATTTCAACTTTAGACACGGTCAGTGGTGTGGTCCGTGTGGCATATTTTTAACAAGCGTGGGAGACGATTCATTAAAAGCAACTTAATTAAATTGTAATTGGATATATTTTGATGCGCTTCCTTCGACCGCAAACAAACAACATGTCATCCGGCAGCCCCCGGTCCACATTCACGCTCCCACTCCCACGCCCATTCCAGGCTGCAGGCTTCATTTGATGTCACTCTAGTTGACACGTGGCCGTGGAGCTGGGTTGTTGGTTGGGTGCTGATTTGCGTTTTGAGTTTGGGGTTGTCTTTCGTCGCGTGCTTGTTTTTAAAGCCGTGTGCACGCGCCACGCCCCACCCCCTATGTGGCGGATGCGTTGTTTATGCAACGAAACTAATTTAAACTACTTCACGCGGCGGTCGGCTAATCCGACGCACTGTGTGTGATAACATCGTTAAGTTGTTGACGCATATGGGACAGTAATAACAATAAGCTGATAGTAATTAAATAGCACAGGCACGTGGCACGTGAAGTCCAATGACTTGCATGACTCAAAGCGCGTCAAACGAGAAATCCGAAGTCGCATTCAAACAGCTAAGTTTCTTTCCATCAAAAGTCATAACTTCCTCTAAATTCTACACTCGTTACGAATGATATACTCGATTTTACTGAAAATGAGAAGAGCTCAAACAAAGTTATCTACTTGTTAGCTTGATATCGATTGAAATATACTAAAGGTTGTCAATTTACTTCGTGCAATTGTCATCAATAGCCGAGTCGATTTAGCTATGCTCGTCTGTCTGTCCGTCCGTATGTGCGACGAATCTCAAGACTAATAAGAGCCAAGGACTTGAAATTTGGAAAGTAGGTCCTCCTAGTCAAGTAAAAGAACAAATTTTTATTGCCCACCAACTTAAGTCTCAATTTTAATAAGCATACACGAATATTCTATAGTATAATAAGATCTACTGTTGAACATTTCTCATGTGGTTGGGGCAGCTAGCGCAAATTTCCAGAATTTCTGTATTCATGTACACACACACATTCATGCAACTTGCTCTCAATCATTATAATCTAAATATAATCAAAATCAAATAACAGCTATTGTCTCAAGCTAATCGTTAGTTCTACTCGTTACAAGCTGCTTACTCTCTTCAAGTTTTCTCGCTCGATTTCTATTGAGTTATTCCCGCTGTTTGTGCATGCTGTTCGAATTTGTGTTTTCAAACTGCTTACATACATAAGACACGCAAGCACACACCTAATTATGATTTGACGACTGACTTTTAAGCGTATTCATAGAATTCTCTTTGAGGGGGCTACATCAACGTTAGCTTCAACTATTTGCACAATATATTCAGAAAATGTTTTAACGAATAAAATTTCATTTGTTTACGACTCATTGAAAAGCCACAAAGCTTTTGCCAATGGGCTTTATCTGTCAGTTTGTTGGTCAACATGTTCGTGTTTGTGTGTGTGTTTGTGTGTGTCTGTGTCTGTGTGTGTGCGTGTGTTGAAACACAAATTATAGCTCGTATTTGTGGCACAATTAAGACTTGGGTACATAAACGACCAAGTTGACAGCATTAAGAACTGTGCTTCTAAAACTTTTAATTGAAATAATTCGTTTTGGGATTGGCAACAAAAAACTTCTGACAGTAAACTTTTCGTTTTGTTCTCCTTTTATTATGGAGCATGTTTTAATGGCATTTTACAAATTGGCTTTGCCTATAAAATGCCTTCAATCATTTACATTAAATACAAAGAGCAGAAGGAGCAGGAAGACAGCGCCAATGTAAAGAGTCTCGTGAGTTAGGATATATATCTATTTATGCACAATAAATAGCTATAAATTTTCCCATCAATTTGGTTAGAAACAAAAACTTACGCAAGCACGAGTTCAGCTTATGATGTCGTGGAAGAGACACGAGTATTTTCGAATTAAGTTCAGATTGTGATTTCGTGTGAAAGTAACGAATGAAAGTAGTATAAGTAACAAGTTTATCGAACAGATAAACATTAAGTTGTACCAAATATGCATGATGCGCATTAATCTTAATTCATAATCAAAGAGCTGAAACTAGCAAGACGCGGTCAAAGTAACGAGTCTTTCGGTTAAAAGTAAAGTATACCCCAAAAGGACAGCTTATTAAAAAACAGTAATTTATATAATTTCAACAGCACAATGACAATGACACCGAGTAGCAAACTAAACTAACGAGAAACGATTTTATTCGTTGCTTTTAATAAATATAACCCTTGTCACCCGCAAACTTATAGCATACACGCTTAAAGCAAATGCGACGTGGCGCCACACTGGCTTGGGCGGTGCTGCTGCTGGTGGTGCTCTCGCTGGTGCTGCTGCTGGCGGTGCTGATACTGGTGCCTATTGAGCTTGTTTCATTCGTTGCCAGCGTTGAGCTCTCACTCGTTGCCTCAGTGCTCTCGCTGCTGACAATCGTCGAATCGCTCGCTGTTGTGGCCTCTGTCACTGTGATGTCCGTTGTCAAATTGGTGGCCAAAGTGGTGCTCTCCACTTCGCCAGTTGTGGTGGCATTGTTAGGGATCTCAGTGCTGGTGCCATTATCGGACTCGGCATCGAGGAAATTGATCAGCACATCCATAAATTTCAGTATGGCGCCGCGATCCTCCGACGTAAAGGTCTGTGCTGTGGTGCCAGCACCTAGCCAGGCACCGCTCGCCAGTCCAATAAGCATCAGCACCACAAAACGTTGTTCGTTGCTCAACGCTGACATTTTTGGGATCTGCTGGGATTTCGTTTGGGTCTTGGGTTGTTAGTCAAAATTCTAACTGGCTGCCAGAGAGTAGCGATTTGTGCATTTTATACAACCTCGTGTATTTGCTGTCCGCTGCCCGATATCTCTATGCGGAAATCGGACCATCCAAAATTGTCCACACAGCTCTCAGGGCACGTGCACGACCCGCCACCTGATTAAATATTGTCTGTACCTCCAATTCAATATCTGGGTCAGGTGTCGACTTCAGACTCTAATTTGCTGTTGCTTATGTTGCCGATGGCGTCTAAAAGCTGAAAAATGGATAAAAAGGTAGCCCAATTAGTGGAAAAAGTGTATGATGACTATGATTATGTTTTTCCTTTTCTCTAGCTATATATCTTCTGCGGCTAAGATCTTAAATTAGCCTGGGATTCGAAGTGTTCTAACTCACAGAAGTCTGCATTTGAGACATAATATTTTTAGATGATTAAGATTAAAGTCAATTCTCAATATCATAATGGAACAACAAAGATTAGAAACTAAACCAACTGTAACATTTAAAATTACCTAGGCGTTGCATGCATTCAGTTAGAATACAACAATATTTTGCTTTAAAAGTAGGTCAGTCCAACTTTAGTTGTTAACGCAGGGCCTATGCCTACGATGGTTATTCAAATGGTAGTTAGACGATATATCAGTCCGATTCGTAAAAATTCAATCAATTTATGCAGATCGACTTGGAATAAATCTTATGTTTTTCGCATAAGATATAACTAGGAGTTAGGAGTCAGTTAGACAAACCTGCCTTAGGGCAAATCCAGTCCTTTCCAGCTCCGTTCTGAGCACAATCCATTTGAATGATACAGGTCGAGTATCTATGGACCACAGCGATTAACCGCAGATGACAAATTATGCGAGAAGAATGCGAATGGGCGCTAAAGAAGAGCCAAAAGCGTGAAGTCGGTGGTCAACATCAGCACTGATGGTGCTTGGCGATTTGTAAGCACGTTTGCGGCATGCCAATGTTGCATACGATGCGGTTATCTTTGGGTTGTTGCTGCGGCATTATCAGCAGCTGTGAAAGAAGCGCGTTCGGTTGATAAAAATCAGCACAAAGACGCCGTATGGCCATAAAAGCGCTTGGCACAGCAGCCATCAGTATCAATCTCTCAAGCAGCGATCATCTGTGCACTTCTCGGAGCGCCGTAACAAGTTATTGGATATAATTGACACGAGGTCTTCAACGGCAACATGTGGCGCGTTCATCTGTTCCTTTTGCTATCCACCTGCTTTCTCATACCGTACGATGCAAAGCCGACCACAGGCAGCTCAACGTCAGCTTCAACGTTGTCAGAGGCGCGACGTAGCAGCCATATTGGCCGATTGGCGGCCAAGGATCTGGCCGATCTGCTTCTGGCCAGCATGCAGGCGCGTGGCATCAAGCTGACCGAATCCCAGCATTCGACGATAAAGTCCCTGCGAAGCATGGAGACGACCGAACAGCAGGGCGGCGCTGTGCTGCTGCAGGTGGGCATGGATGTCATCATCGATGTGCTAATTGGTAGCAATGCGGATGCCAGCTGCGAACGCGTCATCAAGGATATCAAGAAGTCGTCTGATAAAAATAGCCTGACACTTGGTCTTAAATCCTTCCTGGCACTGTGCGCCTTCAACAATATCGAGTGCTCACAGAAGCAAGTAGTGCAGATCATAAAGAGCACGACGTCAGCTAAACAGAGTGAGACAGCTATACAGGGAACTCGAATCACGCGCACGGCCCTCGAGCAGGCTGGCAAATCTACCAACATAAAAGGCGATCGCGATTCCATCGTTAGTTTCCTTCAGGCGAGGAGCGTACCGGAGCTGAGCGCTATTTTGAGCACGCTTCTGCAAGTGTGCGGTGCATCCAGTGTCGAGGCTCAGAACATTGTGCAGAATCTGATAGAAAGTAAGTATCAAGCATCAAATGACGAGTGGCAAGGATCGAGTAGCGAGAAGCGAGTAACAAGTTGCAAGTGATAAACAATAAGCAACGGGGAGCGACTGACAGATGAGTGGAGAGTAACGAGTGGCGAGTGACGTGCAGCCAGAGATGTATTTTGAGTAAACTCCTACGAGTTACAAATAGAAGCAATTGACGATTGACTAGCGAGGGGAAAGTTTAAATCAGCAAGTACCAAAAGTGACGATTAGTGATTCATTTGTAGCATGGAACGAGCTGTAAGTGATAAATAACAAGCAAAGTGAAGCGAATAACGACGAGTGACATGTGAAGAGTAGCAAGTACAATATGGCCACGGACGAGTTTTTAGTGAGCTATAACGAGTAGCAAGTAACATCGAAGCAGTGATCAAGTTACCTTTACCGTGTAGTATTTAAATGAAATGTGCAGCGAGTGACAAGTAACGAGTTGTGCTTGAAATGCATTCGGTCCAGTCTATTAGCTGCACTAAATTGTATTCTTTACTAAACTTTTCAGTGGGCCCCAAAGACAGCACTGGCGTTAACGTGTTGCAGATCAATGGCTTTAGCACACTAATTGTTTCCCTTATGGATAGCCTAACGTCTATTGCTAATGGCAACAAGAGCGGCTTCTGTGCCGCTACACCTGAGAGCTGGATTGTGCGTTTACTGGATATGGGCGTGGCAAAGGTTATTATTATGGGTTTAATGACGGCCCTGGATCGCTCGCTGCCTACCTCACCCAATGCGCTGATACGTAAGTAGCTACCAATTGGCTACCGATCCTTTAATCAATGTATGCCAATTTAATTGCAGAGCAAGGTAATGCAGTCGCCAATTTGGTGGATGCTGATGTTAGCAAGAGCTCGCCCACTTCCAAACGTGCCAGTGGTTCTCTTCCCGTTATTGGCAACCTATTAGGAAATAGCATTGCGTGTAGGTTTCCGTTGATCAGACATAATAGTTCAATTAATATATAATTCATTGCATTTTTCTTCTCCAGCTGGACCCACAAATGTTGCCAACCAAGGCGGCAATACCATCACAAGTAAGTGCCTAGAACACTGCTCAAGGAAGTTTCTTTATTTACAAAATAATTTCCATTTTCTAGCCGGTCCTAAGAATTTGATTAAGGGTAGCGGCAACACTATTCTTTCTGCGGTTGATGCAAACGTTCTTGCAGGAGTTGGTGTTAACGCCCTTAACAGTATTACAGGCGTGGTTGGAGGCTCCAATGGTGGTGGTGGATCCAGTAGCGGTTCCAATAGTGGTTCCGGCTCCGGCTTAACCCGATCACAAAATATTGCAAACCAACTGGGCAATAATATATCACGTATGTTTGAGAACATCATAGGAAAATAATAGAACTATTTGCAAATATCTTTCTCTTCTACAGTGGGTCCCAAAAATGTTGTCAGCGGTAGCGGAAATACTATTGCAAGCTTAGTTGATGCTCAGGTTCCCGTGGGAGCTGATGTGAATATTCTCAGCAGTGCTCTAGGCACGGTAACTGGAGGTTCTGGTGGTTCTGGTGGTGTTGCCGGTGGTCTTTTGGGTGGAGGTTCCGGTTCCGGTTCCTCTCGCTCTCAAAATACTGCTAACCGGTTCGGAAATGAAATCACTAGTAAGTTTGTTTACCGTACATAAATATATAACTATTTGCCAATACCTATCTCTTTCACAGCGGGTCCCAAAAATATCGTGAACGGTAGCGGAAATACTATCGCAAGCTTAGTTGATGCTCAGGTTCCAGTGGGAGCCGTTGTCAATATTCTCAACAATAATCGAGGCACCGTAACAGGTGGTTCAGGTGGTTCTAGTGGTGTTGCCGGTGGTCTTTTGGGTGGTGGTTCCGGTTCCTCTCGCTCTCAAAATACTGCTAACCGGTTCGGCAATGAAATCTCTAGTAAGTTTGTTTACCGGAAAAAAGATGTAACTATTTTCTAATACCAATCTCTTCCACAGCGGGTCCTAAAAATATCGTGACTGGTAGCGGAAATACTATCGCGAACTTAGTTGATGCGCAGGTTCCTGTGGGAGCCGATGTGAATATTCTCAGCAGAGCCTTAGGCACTGTAACTGGAGGTTCTAGTGGTTCTGGTGGTGTTGCCGGTGGTCTTTTGAGTGGTGCTACCGGTGGTCTTTTGGGTGGTGGTTCCGGTTCCGGTTCCTCTCGCTCTCAAAATACTGCTAACCGGTTTGGCAATGAAATCTCTAGTAAGTTTGTTTACCCTACATAAATATTATGCTATTTTCTAACACCTATCTCTTCCACAGCGGGTCCCAAAAATATCGTGAGCGGTAGCGGAAATACTATCGCGAGCTTAGTCGATGCTCAGGTTCCTGTGGGAGCCGATGTGAATGTTCTCAGCGGAGCCTTAGGCACCGTTACTGGTGGTTCTAGTGGTGCTGCCGGTGGTCTTTTGAGTGGTGCTACCGGTGGTCTTTTGGGTGGTGCTACCGGTGGTCTTTTGGGTGGTGGTTCCGGTTCCGGTTCCTCTCGCTCTCAAAATACTGCTAACCGGTTTGGCAATGAAATCTCTAGTAAGCTTGTTTACCGTACATAAATATCATGAAATTTTCTAACACCTATCTCTTCCACAGCGGGTCCCAAAAATATCGTGAACGGTAGCAGAAATACTATTGCGAGCTTAGTCGATGCTCAGGTTCCTGTGGGAGCCGATGTGAATGTTCTCAGCAGAGCTTTAGGCACCGTAACTGGAGGTTCTGGTGGTTCTAGTGGTGCTTCCGGTGGTCTTTTGGGTGGTGTTGCCGGTGGTCTTTTGGGTGGAGGTTCCGGTTCCGGTTCCTCTCGCTCTCAAAACACTGCTAACCGGCTCGGCAATGAAATCTCTAGTAAGTTTGTTTACCGTAAAAAATATATAACTATTTGCTAATACCAATCTCTTCCACAGCGGGTCCCAAAAATATCGTGACTGGTAGCGGAAATACTATCGCGAACTTAGTTGATGCGCAGATTCCTGTGGGAGCCGATGTGAATATTCTCAGCAGCGCTTTAGGCACCGTAACTGGAGGTTCTAGTGGTTCTGGTAGTGTTGCCGGTGGTCTTTTGGGGGGCGCTACCGGTGGTCTTTTGGGTGGTGGTTCCGGCACCGGTTCCTCTCGCTCTCAAAATATCGCCAATAAAGGTGGTAATACCATAACAAGTAAGTACTTTTAAGCTAAATAAGAAAGTTGACACTATATAGGATAACTACATTATTGTTTTGCAGCGGGTCCTAAGAATGTAATCAATGGAAGTAACAATTCCATACTTAAGGCAGTTGATCTCGATCTACCTGTGGGACTCGGTGTGAATCTGTTACAAAGCGCAGTAGGCACGGTTTCTGGTAGTTCCAGTGGTTCTGGTGGTGTCTTGGGTGGTGCTACTGGAGGTCTTTTGGGTGGCCTAACTGGAACTGGCTCTGGCTCCTCTCAAGGCCAAAACATTGCTAATATGGGTGGCAATCAGATTAGCAGTAAGATTATTTACCTGTTATTTTTTTGCTATGTCAAGGCTTAACCACGTTTTACATTGACAGCGGGTCCGAAAAATATTGTTACTGGTAACAGCAATAGCATTGTCAGCTTAGTTGACGCAACGGTTCCTGTGAATCTTGCCGTAAACGCGCTCAGCAGTGTTGTGGGAAGTGTAATTGGAGGTGGTGCTGCCCGTAATGATGTCGTTCAGGTGGTTGATCAGCAAGGCAATCGTCTCATGGACATTTGGGATAAGGACGGTGTGACTGCTGGCAGCGGAGGTATTGGCAATGATTTATCCAATACCGTTAACAGTAAGTAAATCAAATGGAATTTGGTCTAGTCCAATGTCGTTACTTGTTTTACTTTGCAGGAGGTCCAAAGCAAATTGTTATGGGCGACGACAACAATATTGTCAAGCTGGTTAATTTGGATGCGTCCGTGCTGGCTAGGCTTGATCTGGCCAACGCCATCCGGGGCAGCAGCGGCGCCTGCAATGGCATCGGCAATAAGCTTGACAATGAGCTGAACAGTGAGTACAAAATCAAGGATCATATTCATTTCTTAAAACGTGATGCCAATATTCTTGCTTACAGCTGGACCGGAGAACATTATTGAGGGCAATCGTAATACGCTTGTGACTTTGGTGGATCTCAATTTGGATGTGTTGGCCAATTTGAATCTCTTGAATACCATTATTGGCACTGTGGGCAATGACTGTCAGGTGACGACGCCCGAGCCGCCGACACCCTCACCACCGACGCCCTCACCCCCGACACCCACACCACCGACCCCCTCTCCACCGACACCCACACCACCTACACCTTATCCCCCAACTTCATTCCCACCCACACCACAACCTCCCACCCCCTCACCACCCACCCCAAGTCCACCTACCCCCAGCCCGAATAACTGCTACCGGCGCTACTGTCGCAAGTGGCGCACTCGCCCCAGTTACTTGTGCTACAAAAACTGCGGCGGCTCATACGTCTACAGACCCTAATGTGGACTTCGCTCAGGAGTTACGTGAACTGTTTTTGAAAATGGGATCAACTTCTGTCGCCCATACACCTGTTATTTAATTTAGCAATGGTTGCACCTATTTATTTATTTTTTTTTTACTTTCTAAGTGAACTTGTTTAATGTACTTGATGTATTGAAATACAGCTGAATTATTTACTGTAATATGAAAAGTTTTTGAATCGGAAGAAGGGATACGGTAGCCGCGTTGGGTCCCACAATGGCGCAAGGTACTTACATATTCAAAACATTTTCATGAACGCGAAGAAGTGAAGACATTTTCAAATAGAAGAGAATGGAGGGCTTCTAGACTTGGAAATACTCTTTACTCAAATGTCAAATAATTGAAACCAAAGAATTACATAAAAATGTAAGTATGAAACGGAGCAGCTCCTTAAAGTCATCTTTTCAGTCCGTCTTACTCGATATACATTTAGCTGAGGAGATTAGTTTACTACTCGTTACTTATCACTCGCTAGTTATTATACTTCATTTGTTGCTTGTGATTCGCATATTGTGACTCATAAGATGCAACATACTATTCGTTACTAGTTACTCGCTACTCCACCTTCGTTACTCGCGACTTGTTACGCGTCACTCGTAACGCATGAGATGCCACTCGTTACATGTCACCTGCTACTCGCCATAAGCTTCTCGCTGCTCGTCTAAGGTACACACTCTGTTTGCTTAATTTTGTAAGTACAGAGCATACAAAGGTAAACAAAATGCAATTACATTCAAAACGAAAAAGTTTAAACAGTGTACGTGAAATACGGGAGGGTGGCATGGAATAGGGGGCAAACAGCAACTCGGCATAAATAAAAGATAACATTATTAACACCCAAGAGCCAAGTGAAGCGCCTCGAGTACTCAGTTAGACAAATGGGCGTCAGTGTTGACTCAATACGGAAAAGTTGCTCTTCGACCTCTCCCCCCGTAGCTAGCCGCGACAGCCCTCTTTCACGAATTGGAATGTAGAACGTGCTCACGCCACATGAAATCATAATGAAAAGCAATAAAAATATCAGCAAAGTTGCTCAGCACCCAAAAAACTGAAACAAAAATGAAAATAAAAAACAAAAAAACACTGAACAAAACAGTACAAAACGGAGCAAATTCTTGAGTTGCCCGTGTCGCGCCCATAATTGATGACCTGAGATAATTTGTTATGGTTATGAAACGTGAAACAAACACGGGGCGGAAATACATAAATACGGAAATACAAAATATGGGGCGCAATTATAAATTTTAGACCAACAGCTTGTGGGTCTCTTGTGTTTCTTTCTCTGGCTCTCTCTCTCTCTCTTTCTCTCTCTCTCTTTCACCTCGCTCTTTCTGAGTGTACATGTGCGTGAGCTCCCAAAGGTGGCCCAAGATGCTGCTGCTGATGTTGCCAAGCTGCTAATGATAAGCGATAACCGTGAACTTCACTGGGTGTTAAATATTATGCAACACCTCGGGGACACAATTTGTTCCACTCAGTATGCCGCAAAACTCATAATGATTACCTGCTGGCGCTTGAGCCCTCAAAAACTTGTCAACCTTTTTGAATGTACTTTCTTAAAGTACAGAAATTTAAACTAGCCGCTGGGAACACCTGACGGGGTCGAGCTGGTAGCCTTGTTTAAAACTTATATGGATGTGATTTTCTTGGAGGCTACGTTCTTCGATAACGATTAAGCTGACTAAAATTGGTGGGATCTAGCAACGTTTACATTATGACATACAGCACATATTCAACGAGTGTGTGTTAACGCCTTAAGGCTTCAAATTGTATTCCAAATAAATTGAATACATTTCTGCCTTAATCTGAAGATTTTTATATAACTTTAAGCACAAGGAAAGCACAAATTAAAACCTTAAGTTTAATTTTGTATTTTAAGATTGAGATTATTTTCTTTAGCAAATATTCTTGAGTTAATAATTGTACTTTAATAACCTTTAAAGTTAGTCTTGATATTTGCATTTTGGCTTCGATAAGATTCTTAAACAAATCATAAACATCGAAAAATTGGAATTCATCTATATTTTGTTATACCCTGAACCCATTAAAAATGGGTATAAGGGTATATTGTGTTTGTGCAACATCCAAATATATGTAACAGGCAGAAGGAAGCATCTCCGACCCCATAAAGTATATATATATTCCTGATCAGCATCAATAGCCGAGTCGATCTAGCCAAACTATATAGCTTTTAAAATAAAATATATATATGCATTTGTTGTTGGAAGAAGAGGGTTCAGGGTATCCCCTAGTCGGGAACTCCCGACTAGAACCTCTTACTTGTTTTTATTTTGTTGTTATTAATTTGGCTTTCTTTTCTTTTCCCTACCCTCAAATAAAATATTTTCACATTTTAAAAAATCAAGAAAGTTAATATTAAAATACATATATAATCTAAAGACCAAGATAACAATCGTTTCACACTTTTAATCAAAGAAAAACAGAAAATGGTTGCCTTTCTTTGTGAGAATACAGTTTATTTTCTTCCAATTTGCGAGCGACAAGACTAATGCCTAAAGCATAGGTGTAGTTAAGAGGGGGTTGCTTTCGGTTGGATTCGAATTGTACGCTCTGAATTAAAGAACGTTTCAACGATATGGCAAATATTTTAAGCACAACATTCGCTGAAGCTAGCCTAAAAAATGTTTGCTGAATAAATCAATATTGGGCGGAAAGTTTTTTATTTATTTATTTTTTTTGGTGGGTGGGGGCACATAAAATGCAACAGACTTTTAGGCGCAGACATGTTTATGTACTTGTCAGACAGCCCAGACGAGTTCCGCAACTAACCCAACCCCCTGCCCTGCCCTCAAGCTGTCCGCCTGCCCGTCTGCGACCCTGTTTTGTAAACGGTAGTTGGATTTGTATGGCCCGCATCTGGGTTCAGGTCGCACTGGTCGTACATCTATCTACAAGTTGTCTTGTGGAAGGTATGATACTTCTGTCGTAGACAGCGACATCTTTGATGCCATAGTGTATCTATTTATGCTTCATCAGCTGTCGTTCTCAACTTACAAAATTATTCTTAGTTTTTTAAATATTTTCTTAACACTTTGCATATATTGTAATGGTTCGGATCGAACTATAGCTGCCCTAGAATCTATCATAAATTAAGATCTCGCTTGAAGATTGGCTTCTGTTTTCAAGATATCTTGACATTTATGAATGTTACTATGGTCCCATTTAACATCGGATTTCAATATCTATGGGAAGAATCGGCATAAGCAATATTTTTTTAGGGAACATTTGTGTGTATCTCAAAATGCCTTGATCGTGTGTCGTTAGCCAAGGGTATTAAATCTTCGGCGCGCAGAGGATAACCTTTTTCTCTAGGTTTTTTTTTTTTGCTGTGCCCATTCCTATTTTCACTTTCGCTGCGCTTTGTTTTCTGCTCTCTTTCTCTGTCTGTTTTATTTTTTTCTTTTATTATTGTACATAATTTGCACGTGCTGCGAATATCTAAAATTTACGAGCAGCGCAAGCGAGAGCGAAAGTGCACAGGTCGTCGTGTGGGTGGTGTGAACGGTGGGCGGTGGGCGGTGGGCGGTAGGCGGTGGTTGGTGATTTGAGTTGGGCTTGTCTGCCCACATGACACTAGTTACACTGTCCCCGCTGGGCCGAGGGATGGGCCACTGTTGTCATGTACATTATTTTGCTTTCAAATGTTCGCTGTAAAAGTAAAAGTCTCGAAAGCTTTAAATGAGTAGAGCGACTTTCGCCCACTGTCGCTCCTTGTTGCGTGTGTCCTGCCCTGCTTTGGGTGGGTAGTTGGGTGGTTGGGTGGTTGGGTGGCTGTTGGTGTTTTGCTACAAATCTGCTGCTGCGTTTTTTTCTTTCCTCGACACAAGCTGCCCCCCGGGAGCCGAGGGATCCCGCTTGTTGCTTACTTTAACACGTTTTATGTCCAAAATAAATGTGAACTAATGCATTTTTATTAATATATACAAGCGTGCTGGGAATTTCAAGAATCCACACCATGGGATCATCATCAGCTATATCATCATCATCATCATCGGCATCAACCTGATGATGATTAAGCATAAAAACCACAAATGTTTTTTAAATGCAGTGCAAATGTTTGTATGGACGGGGTCGTGTGTTTGTGTGTGTGTGTGTGGGTGTGCCTGTGTGGGAGTGTGTGTGTACTTACTAAGTAGTATGCTTCTGACTTTGCAAATCCTGTTAAAATATTTAGCGCAGGACGTACGTGTTAACATCCTTGCATTTGCAACGAATCGGAGAAGTTAAAGCTGCCCCAGTTTGGCACCACTGTCACCCACTGTCAGCAGGACTGTGCACTGGGGTCACATATGCGTTGAGTCAGCAGCTTATAATCGACCATTAGCAAGACTTAAGATAAGCCCAAGTCTCTAACTCGCTCTCTATCTCTCTCCCTGTCACTCGCCGCTGTCTCAGCAGTGAGTGGTTTAGGTCGGTTCGTGCTCTTTATGCATGCCCAACTGCAGCCCTCAGTGCTCAGTACTATGTACAAATCATCAATTGTATCAACTATGCAGACATACACACATTATAATTTGGGCATGGCTGGCAACGCCTGCTCGTCTGTTTTTGCCAATGGAAAACAGCAACATCCGGAATTCATGTTCTCAGCCACATAAGCCCCCGCATTTTATGACACGATTTTTCATAACAAAGGTTTTGTAAATTGCGTCTACTCTGACTTTTTTTTGATATGCAGTTCCACAAAGGGCACAACGTAGCGAGTAATGAGTCGTCCGTAAGCTTAGAACGAGTAAATTTTATATGAATTGTCATGTTGAGTCTGGAAAATGCTGACAAAAGCGGGTGAAGCTCAAATAATAACTGCAATTACAGCTCGCAAAACGAGTAGCGAGTGAGGAAACAAACGAGTGAGTGGGTAGTAAATCATTCGGTGCTTTTTACTCGCTACAAAACGGAAAGTAAAGAAACAATTATGAATAAAATTTGTAGAGTGCATTTAATTTCAAACAAAATAACAGTAAGAGCTTAAGGATCAAAAGTATCCAAATCCAGGTTACTCTTTACTTGTTACTCGTCACTCGCTCCTGTATACAATGTGTTTAGAAATAGTAAACTGTGACATAATAACAAAAACAGTCGGAGCCAAAGCAGCCACGACCGAGTCACTCGTTACTTCTTAGTTGTTACTCGTCACTCG